ACAAAGTTAGCTAGCATGGATAGACGATAGCGAGTTTGGTTATACCTCATTGAGTTCGTTCGTTTCGTCATTCGGTAACTGTTGGCGAATCGATAGCGGCTAACAATTCATATTATAGGTGTCATATGTTCGTTCGCAGTCCACTCCCATTCCGTACCTTATATGCTGCGGGCAACAACAAGAGAGAGCTGCAGCGATATGCATACATATTTATGTCTTACTGTTCGTTTTCCAATGTATTGTTGTTCGTGGATTTTTGTTTACAATTACTGTATTTCGAATTGTTTACATTCTCATGTTGATGTTTTCTATTGTCTTCAAAATTGCTTGTTTAAATATTGTTTTTAGCATGATACAATAATTCTTAGAAGGTAGTTTCACTTCTTCTTCTTATCCGCCATGTTAGCTATCTGACAGAAAACGTGTTTCGTATTTTTGGTTGTACCAACTTAAAAAAAAAAATCCAGCCTTTGACGTTGGAAAAATAAATAATAGATTTCGAATTTTTTTTAATAATTTGCTTCATAAAAAATTAACTGCTGCTTTCGTGGATATTGCAACACACGGAATTGATGTGTGGATACAGCTATAAGAGCCACCGCATACCACAGACTTTATCGGCCTATTTAAATAGTAAGGCTCGCTTTAAATATGTACATGAAGATGTATGGAGGTGCGCACACTACACCAGCTTAATCGCTCCGAGAAATAAGTTGTGGTGCAATGGAAAGACTAGCGAGCCCATCTAAATCGGCGGCCGATAAAGTCCGTGGTGTGCGATGGATCTAGTCCATTATAAACAAGAAATATTGCCGTTATATTTTCATTTTTATGATTTTTATTCATGTGATTAGCAGTGGAAAAAATTTATGTATTAAATACGTATATTTATATTAAAAATTAAGTGATCAGTTATGAAACATATACATCTTTACATGTTCTGTTAAAAAATTTCTAAAATAACAAGCGAAAATCCCCAAGTTCTATATCGTAGCAGTGGCCACATTGC